GTCCAATATCTTATTGTATTCTCGTTTCATTTAGCTAAACGGATCAATCACTCTAACCGGGCTAAAAAGGAAAGGTACGATATTGTTCGCTTTTCTAAGGTGATCACTAAAGGTTTGGCCTCGGGAACAGGCTTTTAGAAGTCAAATGAATTAGGCGAGAGCAAGAGAGGATAAAGGGGACAGAGAAGGCATCCCCCATACACCCCCTTTTCCATAGTTTATTCGTCTCGAGTTATTTTTAGAATCGGGATAAAGTTACCTCGCGCACTGCGTGGATGTTTCGTGGAGGTTTCGCATGACTAAACGCCGTGCAAAACATGTCGGGCGAAAGACAATGAAAGCGTAATATTGAAGCGGAATGAGTCGGCGCTCACCTAGGAAAAGGGAATCGCTGGAATCTTTGACAACCCGTGAAATCAGTTTAACTCGAAGTTGTCGTAACCTCAGTGCTTTAATAAAAATGAGAAATTTCGCCGGTCTATTGAAACCGGTCGTTTGTACAATAAAGCAGGTAGGACGCCAAGTGTTATTTTTGTTGAATAACAATAGACTAATAAAAGAATAAATATCAAACCAGAAATTGTTTTCTTCAACCTGTAAATTATAAATGATCCTGAGAGAATATTCAGTGTATTAAGGATTTCCCTGCTGTACTGTTAGCTCTATACAAGAGAGGAAGGGTGATTCTTTTTTAATTTCCATTTCGCTGACACCGCTTTAGTAGAAATCTCTTTTTAGTCGTTTTTGTCGACAAAACGAATAGCAATATCGCTCTCCCCGTCTTCCGCCATTTTTTTCAGCGTCAATTCGTGAAGGACGCGTGGCTCTGAGCGTGGGTCATCAACGCGGAACACATTCGCGCTATGTGGTTGGCTGTTGTCTAATCACCCTTGGGATCTGTGGTCTTAAAAATAACTCGAGACGAATTACCTATGGAATAGGGTGTGTATGGGGGATGCCTTCTCTGTTCCCTTTATCCTCTCTTGGAGAGGGCAAAATTGCTGTTTTACAGGGAAAGTCAACACATACTCACGCCAATGTGCAATGAAAGAATACGTTCAAAGTTTGTTTACTTACAGAGGTAGGAAATTGAACATCAAACTGTACGCAGCTGTATTAGTCGATCCGTAATTTCGCGCTTACAGACGGAACTAGCAGCTATTGTAAAGGAGGACTTCATTCACTTCTTACAAGCTGCAGTGGTTTAACATCTGTTTTCTGGACTTTTTCATGAACAAGAAACGCTGCAGTAACAACGTGGCTGCATTTGCAAAGTTGTCGCATGTAACATGTACGTACAGCGACCGATGGAAATATGTCAGTGGCAGCTGTAAATTTGGAGAAAGGTTTCTTTGCCGTAGCCACATATTGGCGTTAATATGTGTCGATTTGTGAAGTCAGGTGCTTTGAAGAAGGTTATGGCATCGATATTAACGAATGATTTGTGCAAATGTTGGAAAAAAATCAGTGCGAAACTCTGACATCTTTCATGTCTTTTTCTATGGGTTAACGGGTATAATAAACCATAGGTTTTTGACCAATCAGATCGTACGTACTATCTTAGTTATTTTGTAAAGTAAGATATGGCAAGAAGTGGCCTTTTGATACGAACCGTGAAACAAAGGGATTTGGTTACCACAGCAAGCCCTCCAACTGAAAAACCCTTAGGTTCGCAGTTAAGGTAAAAGATGAACGGCAATAACTAAGAAGAAATCAGAATAGTCTTTAGTAATTCTAACGAGAGGGAACAAGTGGTTATTTCTAAGTTAATTTATATCAATTTTTTTTTGTTTTTTTTTTTGATCTGTTGTCTATATTTTTGTTAAAACTCAATCCAGATGGCGCTTAGCCTGCATCCTCTCTTCATCGTTCTCGTCCCAAGTTTTCCAAATGAACTCATAAGGGAATACTTGTAAGCGCCCTCTTAAAGTACAATTTGTCATGTAGCTAGTTCAACTTTTTTTGCTTTTTGGTTTTGTTTTTGTTTTGTTGTTTTTGTTTTGTTTCTGTTTTTGTTTGTTTGTTTGTTTCTTTTTTAACTTAAAGGCTAAGATCACAATTGGAAGTACGCTTTTCGAAAAAAAAAAACACTCTTCAATTAGTTATTACGGGAAAAACCTCTTAATCAATTCATTTCTGTAAAGTGCGCGAGCGCGGGATTACCAGGTAACGGAATACGCACTGGCAGATGGCTCTAAGAAAGGCACCAGGAAGCTACAGAAAAAAAAAAACAAAACAAAACAAATAAAACAACAAAACACAAAGGCACCTTCACTTGGTCTTCGTCAGAGACAGCGGCTCCTTCCAAAATGCTTTGAACACTGTGGATCTGAAAATGTAACAAATTACTCATGGGATTGTCGCCCCTTCTTTATGAGCAAGGGTTTAGTTTACCGTAGGGCATTGCTTTGGAAACTAAAGTATTGTCAAGTGGCATCGATCTTTCTTTGGTCGTATAACACAGTGGAGGCTCATTTACTTCGAATTTTATTATAATTATTTTGGTTGAATGGTTATACGTACTTCAAATAATGATGATGATGATGATGATGATAATAAATGGGATATCACAAAAGAAAACGTAATCATGACCTTTGGCCATTGATAAATGCGAGGAGAACAAGACTTTCTAAAAAGACAGTGACAACTCTTTTGCTTTCTTTTCATAAACTTTGGTTGTTTTTGTTTCACTCTTGTGTCTAAACAAAATGATTACACTATATATCACTAAATGTAATACTAGCTTGACTTCTCTAAAGGAAAACTTGAATCTTCTAATCTATTACAGCATTTATACAAATTAAACAAAGAAAAATTACAGGAAGCAGTACGTAACCTATAACTTTACATACCTTTCCGTTAACTCTTGCTCCAAGAAACAAGAAAATAGCGATGTTCCCAGCGGACTGCATGATTAATATTACACAGCCAAGGGTAAGATATTCAGAGCCACTACTTTCTTGCGAGGGGTTCAGTTGGACAGCAACGAAAAAAGTAAAACAAATGAAAGGGATTTGAAGGGACAGCGTCACAAAGAGAAGAGGTGAAAACACTTTGCTGGCGTGTTCAACCACATCACATAATCGATGATGTTCGTCTTTCAAAGCCCGAATGTCCAAAGCGCCAAGTTTTCTTGTTGTTCTTTGATAAAAATCATCAAAAAGTCGTTCAAGTATCAAGCACGTCATGCAATATAAAGGGATGGGAAACAACAATACTGCATAGACTAAAACCAACGTGAATGAATAAAGTATGGTAATGCTGTAACCATTCCAATCATTCCAAGGTTTGTTACTCCCTAAATAGAGCTGAGGCAAAAAGTGGGTTGATGTGACAACTAAGATAGTTGCTGTGATCCAAATAAAGACTGCAGCAGCTACAGTTTTGCGAGAGGTAGATTTCAATGTTTTCAATTCAGCATTGCATTCAATTAATTTTCGAATAAACGTTTCAAAACGCGACTGTCTAATTTGACTTATTGGTAGTACAAACAAGCAAATTGTTCCATTGAGCGCTGCCAAAAGGTACCCTACTAAGCTTCCCAACAACCTGAAGAAGATTGTGATATCAGTGAAACCTTCTAAACCTAACGAAATAAGCAGCAAGCCAACGGTTAACCAAACTGTTCCCAACACTGAACAACAAAAGAGAAGCCAAATGGATACCCGCCTCTTTTGAAAGGACAACGTCGATGGCAGTCGAGTTAGTGAGATTTCTCCAAAGTACATTCCAAAAAGCCTCAAAGCTCTCAATATGGGGCTGTAAATATCTTCGTACACCTTTAGCTGTTCGTTCCTTCCGTGATAAGTGCTTTGGGAAGCGTCTGGTAAGTTTTCAATGACGGTACTATGATCTAAGGAAAATGGCTGCAAAGTATATGTTTCGCGAATGTGGGAAATATCTGGTACATGAACGTGGGTTTCCGAAGGATGTACTTGAGAATGCATCTCCACATTTGAACAAAACCTATAAGTCATCAAACTATATTTGTTGTGTTAGCTTATTAATAATTAAAGATAGCAATTTCAATTACTAGTTCAATTATTTTTGTGTTATTATTTATTCAAGGCTTTTCTTCTCCTTAAGGAGCCCAAACCATTTTCGTTTTTCGTTGTTATTACTTTTTTTCTCCTTCGGTATTGTTGCATTTTGGTTTTTCTGTCGTGTCCGACCTTCGCTATTCTCTGAAAAAAATCCATAAACACAAAAAGACCTGTAAAAGATATTCAAGTGCAATAAGTTATCAATAAATAATTCAAATTCAAAATTTATGGTTTTCAAAACGAGGCAGAAAAGGCGAAACCTTAATATTAAACTAGAAATAAGTAATTGCGCCATTGAGCGAGTCAGGGATACTATGTTCTTGGGTGTGATCCTTGATGAAGTTGTAAAGTTTAATTGTATTCTTATAAAAATAGGCCTGCTTCCTAGTGTATCCATAGAAATGTTTTTAGTGACAAATCAAATTCATTCCTATAATTCCAGAAATTCAAATACTTGCTAGTTATTTCCTGCATGGATAAATATGACTTTTTGGTATAAGATTTCATGGTCCTAAATTTTTTAATTCACCTAATAACAATGTACATAGTGCTTCTACCATCTCTCTTTTTAAATCCAGATTGAAAAAATTTCTCTCAGCTGATTCACCACTTGTAATAATACTTGTGTTTTGCTGCTTTTTGTCCGTTTTGTAAGTTTTGTTTTGCTTGCTTACCTAATAATATTTCAGTATGATTTCGCCGCTTATTTATCTATTTATAGTCTTAGGTTAGAGAAAGTAGCCGGCAAATAGACTGAAATAAACAAACTAAAACTGAATAAATAAACTGACACTGAAGACATGTATTGGGAACACTTCCTTCATTATTCATCTTGAGTTCAAGATATCCTGTTGTGTTCTATATTTGATTTATATGTTAAGGATAAATACTGTACGAAAGAGGAAACAAAAAGACTGTAAACGAACAAAAAGATATAGTTAAGTTTAATATACCCACAACCCTCACCTCCCGTTGACGGAAGAACTAATAGTCTTTTCTTTCGTGGGAAAGTTATATATCGAATCGCGTGTCAAAAAAACCAAACATTAACAAGCAAAGCAAGTGGAAATGGCACCCATACACCAACCACTGATCATCGTTTTTCTGCCGTGATAAAGTTTCGATTATCATTATTATTTTAATTGAAATGATTTTTTTAATCGAAACTAAGAGCTTTTTTTTAATCGAAAGGAATTGTAAATAGTGCTTTCAATTGGCTGAATAGTCTTTTTAAAGCGAGATTAATTGTAATAAGATTTTATAGTTAGCTTTGTCATTAGTAAAAGAATTATTTAAAAACAAATACATGATTTCTCATTTCATCACCGAACTTAAAGTCTATAATTTATTTATCACACACATGGTGATCCTGCTGGTCCTAGCAGTAAGCAGGACGCGCAGATCATAGGTTCAATTCCTTGCAGGGACTCAGTTTTTTCCCTTGTCCCGTGATGGTGACATGTTGATTACATCATTCTCGATGATAATAATAATAATAATAATGATAATAATAATAATAATAATAATAATAATAATAATAATAATAATTATCGGTCCTCGTCAATTAAACACAATCTGTTGACGAAAACAACGATTGCGTATATTAAATTAGTGTACAAAGTACTGTCCATGTGGTATTGTATTATACATACTACATAATTCTGCCTTTATCTTTTATTTGAATTTGTCTTAAATACTGGGATAATAAAAACTGTCTCTAAACATCGTGAAGTGATAATATCCAGTTAACTCTAGATCTAGCTTTACTTTTTTTTATTCAGATTGTTAACTATTTGCTAGTGATGATTCATTTACAACCGTTAATATATTTTTCTTTTGTGCGATCTAATCATCAAATATTAATAAGGTGGAACCGATAATACACTAACTGTAATTCCCGCTACATCAGTGTAAGTCATTCTCTCTCTCTCCCTTATTTGTTTCGTTTTGTTTTGTTGTTTTGTTTTTATTGTTTCGTTGTTTTTGTTGTTGAAGTGTTTTTTTTTTCCTCATATCAACCGTTAACACTTCAGGGAACGTTGAGTAGTTTCTGGTCACTATTGTTGTTGTTGTTGTTGTTGTTGCTGCTGCTGTTCGTGCTGTTCTTACTGCATCAAAGTTGATCATGAGCCAAGCATCACCACTGTTACGTAACCTTAGAAATATAGGGATTCGTGTGGGGTTTTAAGACGATTGTCCGAATCTCAATTTCTTCAGGAACGTCAATTGCTATTCTTGACTCTGTGGTTGGGTTATTAATTGTGTGTATTGCCTCTGTTATTTTATTTTATTATTATTATTTTTTTTAACATTCGAATGAGGATGGACTCGATCTTGGTTCAGCTTCATTGAAAATGTTTAATGATAAGTTTGCTTTTTTAAAAAAATCCTCGCTGTTTTTTTTGTTTGTTCCTCCTCGGGGAAATGTCTGATATTTTAGTTTTCGTCTTCACTGCTGTATTTTTCTTTCGTGTGTCTTCTCATTCTCTCAACATTGCAGGCTTATATGAGTTTAAAATTCCACGTTTTTTTGTGAAATTCTGGAAGCTTATTGGCTATAAATTAGACTTGTCCTTGTAAAGACCGCTTTATTTCTGGTCTTGCCATCGCTATTTTTACTCAGCTCGGTAGGGAAAGTGTAACGGCAATATGAAAGGATTACTCCAGCAATCTGGTAAACAGACCGACAAACAACAACAGGCAAGGAAGGAAACGAAGGAACAATCAAACAATCACAAACACACACACAAAAGAGGATTAAATAAAAGAAAACATTGTATAAGCGACCATTTTGAGATAACGACTAGCTTTCCAAAAGTCTACTATAATTGTACAAGTAAATTTTATTTAAATGGTTAATATCTCTTAGTTTTATAATAAAGTTCAGAACGTGCACTCTGATTGGCTGAAAAAGCATTCCAAAAGCACGGACCATGGGCTGGTTTTCAAGACCAAGGTTTCGCATTTCAGGGTTAAAAATACACCGTTAAAAAGTTCAAATGAAGGTTCAG